ATATATATATGTAGATACTTGCATAGTGGTTTATTCATATTTTCATTCTCTGCTCGAGTTGGGACGTATATAGTAGGCACGAACCAGACATCAGAAGAAAGATGTCATGAATTTCATTTTAGTAGAGGAACTTGAGGATTGAGAAGAGAACAGATGATATGTGTGCATGTGTGCTTCTGTAGTTCAAGGGATGTATTTCGTTCTTTTTGCTTGTATTGTTGTTTTTCTGTATTCTCTGTGATCTTGTTTTCCACTGGAGACGGATTCATGTATCAGTAAATTGGGGCACCTCCTTTTCTGTGTGTGTGTGTGCGTGTGCCTCACCTTTTTTTTTTTTTTGGCTCTTGTGAGGTCAATGAGTGTTTTTTTTTGTTTTGTTTCAAGGATGGAATCAAAGCGACAATTGCGTGCCAACGTAAAGAACAGTAAGAACTGGAGGTTGATTGGATTGTGAAATCAGGGGGTGAGGGGAAGAAAGGAACCCAGCGCCCACCAAAGGGTTTGCCAGAGAATGACTCTTTCAGTGGAGCTGGGTGGGTGAGGGGTGTAAGGGGAGAAGGCATCCTTTTGTATTGTCTCTTCTTTCCACACTCTCCCTTTCCACTGTCACTCTAGTGTGGGTGAAGGGGGAGTAGCGGGGACAACACGAAGGCACTGAATGATAATAAAACGGAAGGAAAAAAAAAGAGGGGAGCTGGACGGAGTGAGAAGTGGAACATAACGTGTTTCACACCTTCCTCCCTTTTCCCATTCCTATTCCTCTTCCTTCGCTCTCCTTCTTACCACTTGTTTTTATTTCATCTATTGAAGTAATACCGTTATTTCCTTTTTTTTTTACATGTTACGTAAAGGGGAGAAGTAGAGGACGTAGTTCCTTACTGCGCATGGGGGAGCGCTAAAATTAGTGTGGGTGCGTGTGCGAGTGTGCTTTTTGCTCTGTCGCCCTCGGATGCGTGTCAGTGTGGTGGTGCCTATTGCCTTTGCGGTTCTCATCGTCTGTTACCCCCGTCCCATTTTTTATTTTTATTTTTGCTTCGGGTGGAGAGTAGTATTTTTTGTCTGCATCAACAACAATAATTGAAAAAGCAACAACGAAAAAAAAAAGAGGGTGGGGGGGAGGCGAAAGGAATTATATAAATAGTTTTTTTTCCTTGTTTTTGTTGGAGGGATATAAACTTTAGGGTTCCTCCCTTCATTTCCTTGTGGCGGCAATCCTGTACGTGAGAGAGGGCGCAAAAAGGAGGACTAGAAGCGGGCAGCAGCGTTGGTGGGGGAGGAATCTGGCAGCAACATTGAGGAGCATTCAAAACGGTGGAGCAACGAAGGAGACGGGGTAGGAACAAAAGGAAAGAAATAAACTACACGAAACAATGAACACTCCCTTGACGACTGCCGAGGTTTTTCAGTTGAACTCCGTTGTGGGTGGTCTGAGGCCTGGCACGATTTCCTTTAAGACACTGACGTTGGAGAGTGACAAGTACGTATGTCTTCGCGATGTACAGCCGGATGGGCAGACGTCACTTGTGATTGTGGACTTGGAAAAGCGTGAAAGTATCCGTAATAATATTCGTGATGCAGAGTCTGCTATAATGAACCCCAAGTCAAAAATACTTGCGCTGCGCAGTGGTCGGAATCTACAGGTCTTTGACGTGAATGCTGCAAAGAGACTCAAGGTGGTTTTATTTACCGAGGATGTGGTTTTCTGGCGTTGGGTGGATGACCGAACAATCGGGGTGGTATCCACTACGGCTGTGTATCACTGGAGCCTGGACTCTGCGGAGGATGCCATGCCGGAACGCGTCTTTGAGCGCGCTCCAGATATGGGTGCGTCGGTGCAGATACTAAACTACTGCACCGACGAAAAGAAGAAGTGGTTGCTGTTGTCAGGCGTAGCGCGGGTGATGGAGGGGATGGTGGGAAAGACACAACTCTACAGTGTGGAAAATCGTGATGGACGTGTGATTGATGGACATGCTGGGACCTTCATCTCGACAAACACGCCTACGGAGCCACGTGTGTGTAACGTTATGTGTCTGGCGTGGAACACCATCCGCGAAGGTGGGAAAGTGCAGCTGATGGAACTCCTACCAGCCCCAAGATGGATGTTACGATTCCCCGCCGAGTGGTGGATGTGCCGCTCCCTCCTGGCGACTTTCCCGTCGCTCTAACGGTTTGTCCGCGGCTCAAGCTGTTGACCATCATGACAAGTCGCGGCACTGCCATCCTGATGGACATCTTTACCGGAATTATCATTAAATCCCAACAGGTAACTCCTAGCATTGTCTTTTGTGGAACACCATACGGAAAAACAGGAGGACTGCTATGTGTTAACAATCAAGGTTCCGTGTTTCATGTCTCTCCGAATGACAACGGAATCATTCCATTCGTTAAGGAGCAAATGCGAAACCCCGACCTCGCTGTGCGCATCGCCACTTCCGCCAACTTGGGGGGCGTGGATGACCTCTACCACATGCAGTTAGACAACAGTCTCCGTGCAGGTAACGTAGAAGAGGCTGTTCGTGCCTGTTTGCGTGCCCCTAACAATGCTTTACGTATCCCAGAAGTCCTCAATCGTTTTGTGCACCTTCCTCAGTCACCAGGACAACCACCAGCCATATCTACATACTTCAAGATGATACTTGCGGAGACGACACTGAACGCACACGAATCGATTGAGCTTGCACGTGTGGTTGTGCCCAAAGGTGGGTCTGCATACATCAGGCAACAGTACGAGGCCAACAAGCTAACAGCTAGCGAGGCGCTTGCTGATGTTCTGGCGCAGGTAGAACCAGACTTGGCGATGAAGATGTACCACAAGGCTGAGGCTCACGCAAAGGTTGTGAACCTCCTGCTTCAACGCAATGAAACCCAAAAAGCGGTGGAGTATTGTAAACGGGCGGGATTTTCACCGGATTGGCGTGTCATTTTGAATAATTTCATTCGTGTCAACCCAAAGAATGCCATCAGCTTGGCATTGATGCTTCATCGTGATTTGGGTGACACTCCGGTACTAGACCCAAACGAAGTGGTGGATATGTTTGTGACGGCTCAGCAACTGCAACAGGCGACGGAGTTTCTTCTTGAGGTTCTGCGAGGGAAAAGTGATGAGTCAACCAAGGATCTTCAAACGAAGCTGCTGGAAATAAACTTAAAACATTCCCACCCTTCCGTCTCGGAGAAGATATTTGCGCGTGGTGTTTGCCTTCATTACGATGGAATGAGGTTGGCTCCTCTGTGTGAGCGGGCGGGACTGCCGCAGCGTGCCATTGAGTGCTACGTCACGGCGCAGAATCAGGACCCCGACCTTGACAATCTCTCTAACATACGCCGTTGCCTCTCCCATGCCCAAAGTTTCAATTCAGAATGGCTGTTGGAATTTTTTGGAAAACTCAGTCAGTCCGATAGCATGAAATGCTTAGAGGACCTGCTGCAGAATCACCGTGAGAACTTTAAAGTTATTGTACAGATTGCCACCAAGTACAATGATGCGCTTGGAGCTGACAAGCTTATCGAGCTTTTTCTTGAGCACAAACTGTATGCTGTTCTTTACTATTATCTTGGCGCCATTGTACCCTACACACGAGATTCGGAAGTGCATTTCCGCTACATAGAGGCGGCGGCGGAGGTGGGTCAGACGCAGGAACTGGAACGAATGACGCGGGAAAGCCCATGCTACGACCCTGAACGAACCAAAAATTACCTGAAGAATAAAAAATTAACTGACCTTTGGCCACTCATCAATGTATGTGATCAGCATGGCTACGTTGATGAAATGGTGCGTTACTTGGTTGATACTGACAACGAGGTGCTTATTGAACAGTACTTGCAGCGTCGAAGTCCAGGGAAGACACCGGAGGTGGTGGCGGCCCTCATTGACTGCAATGTTCGAGAAGAGTTTATCAAAAACATTCTCAATGCTGTGGGCACTATGTGTCCTATTTCCGAGTTGGTGCAGGCTGTGGAAGAAAGGGGTCGCCTGCGTCTTATTCAAGGGTGGCTGGAGGCCCGTTTGTCGGAAAAGAAGACGGATCCGGCCCTTCACAATGCTCTGGGAAAGTTATACGTGGATACAGACAATAGCGCGGAAAAATTCTTGATGGAAAATGCCTACTATGAACCATTAGTCCTCGGGCAGTACTGCGAGAACCGTGACACGAACCTTGCCTACATTGCCTACCGCAAGGGGCACTTAAGTCAGGAGCTGGTGCAGTTAACCATGAAGAATGGCATGTGGAAGCAACTTGCTCGCTACCTTGTACACGAGAAAAATCTTGAGCTTTGGGCGTCAACTCTGCAAAATGATACAAAGGATCGTGATCGCCTTGTGGAAGCTGTGCAACAAACCGCCCTGCCGGAGTCGGAAGTGGATGAGGAGGTCAGTACCACCGTTAGGGCGTTTATGAATGCAGGGATGACACAGGAGCTGGCGTCGATACTAGAGCAAATTGTGGTGCGAGGTCGTTTTAGGAAAAACCGTTTCCTAGAGAATCTTCTTATCATGACCGCCATTCGTTCCCGCAAGGATAAGGTGATGGAGTATGTCCTGACACTAGAGAATTACGACGCCAAGGAAGTTGCCAGCATCGCTACCAATGCGGAGATGCCTGAAGTGGCATTTGCGGTGTATGACAAGAATGATATGAAGAAGGAAGCGGCTACGGTGTTGTTGCGAGATCTGAAAGATGTTTCACGTGGTCGCTCCTACGCTCAAAAGTGTGAGCATCCTGCCGTGTGGTCCGTTCTTGGGGAGTATTTGCTTGCTGCAGATGAGGTACATGAAGCAATAGATGTACTTATTCGAGCAAAGAATCCGAACTTTGTGGATGAAGTTACTGCAGCGGCGGATCGTAACAATGAGTTTGGTGACCTTATCAAATACCTCACCATGGCACGCGGAGAATCTTCTACACAGGACAACAAGATCGATACCGCGTTGGTGCTTACATATGCCAAGACAGGTCGTCTTACAGAGTTGGAAGAGTTTTTAAAGGAGACTCACAATGTGCAGGTTCAGCAAGTGGCAGATAGATGCTTTGATGATGGATTGTACGACTCGGCACGGGTGTTGTACACCTTGGTGTCTAACTTCCCCAAACTGGCGGTAACACTAGTGAGGATGAAAAATCTATCAGCAGCCGTAGATGCTGCACAAAAGGCAAAATCACGGAAAACATGGACGGTTGTGAATATTGCCTGTATTGAGGCTAATGAGATTAAATTGGCCAACCTATGTGCTGTTCCTCTTGTACTAGAAGCCGAAATGTTGCAGGGCGTCGTGGATCGCTATGAAAGCCATGGTCTGTGGGAGGAATTGCTCTCTGTGCTTAAGACGGCATCTGTTATACCAGGGGCCCATATGGGTATCTTTACAGGGATGGGGCTTATTTTGGCCAAATACAAGCCCGAAAAGCTACTGGAGCACGTGAATATGCACGCCAAGAAGATTAACACTCATAAAATGATTGCCGCATGTGAACAGTATCATCTGTGGTTGGTGCTTCGAGTGTTGCACATCAACAATGAGGATTGGCTTGCCGCCGCGACAACGATGATGCAACATTACGTCGATGCCTGGGATCATGACATTTACAAGAGTGTGGTGAACCACTTGGGATCCAGTGATGTTGTGTACAACTCCATCGCATTCTACATTCAAACCAACCCACAGCTTCTTAACGACTTCCTCGCCAGCATGTTTAAGACGTTGGACCCAGAGCGTGTCTTGCTGGAGGTGCAGAAGATAGCCCCTGTGCATTTTATTCGTCAATATCTGGAGTCTGCCCAAGAGCGCAACTGTAGACGGGTTAATGAGGCACTTAACAAACTCTACATGGATGAAGAGGACTTTGTTGCCCTACGCAACTCGGTAGAGCGTTTCGATAACTTTGACTCCGTCGAATTGAGCGCTCAGCTGGAAAAGATGGAACTTTTTGAGTTCCGCAAGATTGCGCTCTTTCTGCATCGACGCAACAAGCGCTACGCGCATGCCATTGCGGTAGCGAAGGAGAACAAACTCTTTCAGGACGCCATTGAAACTTCCGCCGAGAGTGCTAACCCGCAGATTGTAGAGGACCTTCTGGACTTCTTTATTGTGGATCACCCAGAGTGCTTTGTCTCATGCCTCTACACGTGTTACGATTACATCACGCCTCAGTCTGTGATGGAAAAGGCATGGCTCAACAAGCGCACAGACCTCGCTATGCCGTACTTTATTCAAGTCATACAGGACTACACAACCAAATTGTTGCGATTGGAGAAGTCCATGACGGACGCCCAACAATCAGCGAAGGAAGCGGCAAGGCGGCCAGGGTCCTTACATGCGGCTGCAAATGACCCTCTTATGATTCAAGCAGGGCCAGCAAACCTAATGGGCGGGGCCGTGCCGATGCCTATACAAAAGCCGATGATGGGGAGTACGCTGCAGGGCGATTACGGTCTCCCACAGCAGTTCGGCGAACGAAGGTCTTTCTGAAGTGGCGAACTGGGTCTGGTGACGCGGCAAAGTTGATTGGTCGTGCGCGGGTGCAGGGTGAGGAGCAGAAGGGATAAGACATCTTTCTATTAATGGAGGACATTAGCGCAGATTGAGCACACATGCATTTACGCAGTGTAACTTAGGGAGTGGGAGCAGAGGCTTAAAAAAACAAAGCAACGACAAAGTTGTGAGGACACACACAAACAAGCAAAATAAAAAAAAACATCCAACAAAGGCCTTGTGGACCTTGCCGAATGGGGAGGGAAAGTCACACATAAAACGTGTAAAGAAATTGAAAATCGTCTCAAATGGGGAAAAAAGGAGCCGTTTTTTTTTTTGCTTTTGGTGGGACTTTGGACTTCTCTTGTACGCGCTACTGTGTCTTTCTCAGTGTGGGCGCACGTGAGTGGTTTATGAAACTTAAGTATATATTTATATATATATGTATGTGTGGCGCGGATGCATTGGTTGCTTTAGTGTATTTCACCAAACTGAGCATCGTCCCGCCTGTTTCTGCCTTCGCGTGCTTGCTTGGGCTTCTTCGCTGCCTGCATTCCTCTCTGACCACATTATGTATTCGTAGAAGGTGCGAGGCACTCGCCCAGAACATGTGCGCTCGCCCACAGGAGAGTGGGGGACGCAAACAGCTGGGGCCAAGCAAGTGGAAAAATAATAATAATAATAATAAACATCGAAAGAAAAACTGTAAGGGATAAATAGAGGGAAAAAGCAAGGGAAAGAGAAAAATAAACGGATGGTACTAGAAGAGGTAGATAAAAAAAAAAAAAAGGAAACCTTATGAAATGACGGAGTTACGCCTCTGCTTTGGGAGATGAAAGCATAGCGACCTTGCATTTTTTGGCTGTTTTTCATTGTTGTTTCTTTGTCTTGTTTTCCCCTTCTATACTTTACATCTTGTACGTTGTTTTTTCGGGACTGTATTTCGATGCCAACGTTGTTGCTTTTTGCCTCGAACGATTGCTATTGTTGCTGTGTGGTTGTACCTGTGACTTGTGCGCATGTGAATGAGGACGCTTTTTGACAGACATTGCCGCTGCCGCTGCAACTTTTTTCTTTGCCTGCTTTCTCGCTCTCTTTTGGGTGGGAGACATCGGAGCATTTCACATCTCTCCACCATTCCTGACAAAAGAAAAAAAAAAGAGTAACAACACATCCCAATAAAGGAGTGACGACCATTGATAAGAGCGAATTGTAGCAAATAAAAAAGGAAGGCACACAAACAGAGTAGAAAGAAGAAAAACAAAACAAAAAAACAGCAACAAAAAAGGGAAAGTCCGGTTGTGATATGTTCAAGAATCAGTACGATACCAATACGACGACGTGGAGCCCCACTGGGCGGTTGTTTCAGGTAGAATACGCGAATGAGGCGGTGAACAACGGCTCTGCTGCTGTTGGCGCAAAGAATAAGGACTTTGTTGTGTTGACCGCCTTGAAACGCGCTCCAGCGGCGCAGTTTTCATCGTACCAGGAGAAGCTGTTTAAACTGGATGACCACGTCGGTATGGCAATAGCCGGTCTTGTTGCAGACGGACGCGTGTTAGCCCGTTTTTTGCGCACAGAATGCATGAACTATCGCTACATGCACGACAGCGATAAGCCATTGCCACTAGTGGCCGATTTGATCGGGGAGAAGCATCAGCGCCACATTCAATTTGGGGGGAAGCGACCCTTTGGTGTCGGTCTTTTAATTGCTGGATATGATCGGACGGGACCACATTTGTATCAAACCGCCCCGTCTGGAGATGTATTTGACTTTAAGGCAACAGCTATGGGTCTGCGTTCGCAGGCTGCTCGCACATATCTTGAAAAACATTTTGAATCCTTCCCAGACTGTGATATTGATGAGCTTATTATGCATGCATTGAAGGCTCTTGCGGCGGCAACCTCGGGCGGCGTTGAGCTAAACATAAAGAATACTACAATTGCCATAGTAGGAAAGGACAACCCTTTCACGATTCTCACGGAGGAGGCGGCACGGAAGTACTTGGATGGCTTCAAGATGCGCCCAGAGGACATTCCCTCTGCTGCAGGAGCTGAGGAGGAGGAAACTCTGCAGGAGCGTTCCTTGGATGTGGAGGAATGAGTGATGGATACCAGGGGAAGTCGATGACGGTTGTCACCATTACTATCTCTTGTCTTCTTTTGTTTATTATTTTCTTTCCAACCAGAGCAATGCGGGGTCTCATTCATTCACGCAACGCCCCCTCCAAGGAAACAACACAGGGGAGAAGCACACTGTATAACAAACGAATTATATATATATATATATATATAAATCGTGTGTGTGTTTTCCATACACATTGAGGCTGGGGGTTTACAAAGTGTTGAATAGTTTGGGGGGGGGGGGGGGGGGAACTGACTCTGCGCCTCAGGCGGGGAAATGTAGGAACTAAAGAGGCTTGGTGTCTTCGCTTCTAACGTTTGCATCTAGTACAACATTGTTTTTGGCCCTTGTGCAACCTGGACGGTGGAAAACGTTTGTAGTTTTATCTTTCTATTCCATCTGTGTGTGTGCTTGCGCGCTTAGAACTTTGCACGCAAAAAAAAAAAGTGGGGTGGGGGGAAAAAAAGAGAGAGACACGTGAAAACACAGCTCGTAGCGCAGATGCCACGTAAAGAAACCAAAAAGCGGAAGCGCGCCAGTAGTCCAGAGAAGGATAGCACCTTTGGCGCGGATGAACAGGGGAAGCATAGTGGTGCGCTCTCTAAGTTTGAGGAGTTTGACGTGTCGGAGTTGCTTCAAAAGCCGCAAGGAGGCCCTGACGTCCAGGCAGCTATGGAGGAGCAAGATAGTAGCCTAACTAACGACACTGTTGCCGCTGCTCCACCTATAACTGCACTGGAGACTGTAGCTGTGGTTGCCGAAGAGCCACCAGCGCCCATCCCGCAACTCATTCCACCGGAACCCCCGAAGGAACTTCCGCCAGATGAGGAGTTTATTCCTCTACCCACACTTCAGGTCGGTCCTATGATGAACCGCTTCTCAGAGGCGCAGAGCGGTTTGCTGAAGGAGCCCGCGCCGCCAGCGTCCATTCAGCGTGTCACTCAACCAGGGATGCTGGTCCCGGCGATGCCCACTTCCTTAATGGAGCTACTTAGTGGGTAACTGTGGAGGGTCTGTTTTTTTTGTGTTTTTTTTTTAAGGGAAAGGGGATGTCTTTTCTTCCTTACCGGCTTCATTTGTGGGTATGGGGCGTTCAGGTGTGGAGTCCTCTTTCCCTTTTTCTCTCTTTTTTTTTTTTGTCTCCGTTTTATACGCCTGCTCAAAAATAAGCATCACATGGGAAGGAGGGAGGGAGGGGGGGGGGGAATGGAATGAATGCAAAACGGACACGTCGAACTTTTCCTTTTTTAAAAAAAAACCTCCAGTCTTGTCTTTGTTGCATTGTGTTTTTCATTCTCTTTTGTGTTGACAGTGACGCTGGTGGACAAGTGAGGGACGCAGATTATAGCCACAGAGAAGAGAACGCAATACCAATTAACTCGTCAAGACTCCGGCACAGTGCATTAGAAGGAGACATATATATATTATTGCACTCAAATTATATTCCAATGACCAGTAGACGCAAGACAAAGAGGGGCGCATCAGCGACAAAAAAAGTGACAGCGGAGACTGCTCCAACAAATACGGGGGCTGCGCAGGAGTCAGGCGTCACTGATGCTGCAGTGCCCGTCCTGCTGCAGGAATACGGTGGTTCACTTGGGGAATCACTTTACAAGGCGCTCATGGAGGGGGCGTCCATCGATTATGTGGTGAACGATCTACTCCGTATTTACTCTGAAGGTGGCAAGGAGTCTGTGTGTTGTGCTATTCTGAACCTTGTGGGGAAGTCCTCAGGTGCAGCTCAGGCCGAATTAGACACGACGGCGCTCAAGGAGGATGTGGATGTTACGACGCTCCTGGAAGAGATGTACGCCCGCGTCCAGCAGGAGGCCGACGCGTATCCATTTGTAAGAAAAGAATCCAAATATCGCATTTTTCGTACTGCCTATCGCCGTTTTTTTGCTTATCTTGTAGAACTTGGCTATAATGCGAATATTTTGCTGGATGGTCTGCTACTTTCGACAGTTCTGCGGTGGCTTATTGCCATGAGTGAGAGCAAGGCGCGTTGTTTCCGTCACACAGCTCTTGTCGCTCTGCTCTCCATTGTTGGGGCCCTCAATGGTCTGATTCGGAACCTCAATCATCGATTGCCCTCACATGGACCGGGCAAAAAACAGCAGGTGAGTGCCTTGCAAGAAAGCATTCAGATGATGGTGGAGTTGCGTAACCATGTCATCTCTCAAGCTATTCATCAGCGTCCTCGCGATGTTGCTCCCGAAATTCGACTTCTGGTTTTTGAGCATTTGGAGAAATGGATTATTAACTACGATGAGGAATTCGCGGAAAACAAGTATTTTCGCTATTTTGGTATGGCCTTGTATGATAAACGACCGGAGATTCGTGCGGAGGCCTTGACGATGATCCAAAAGTCGCTTGTGGCGACGCCAGAGAGTGGTAATCGCATGTTTTTGTTTTTACAGTTTTTTTCCAGTCGGCTTGTGGAAATGTGTAGTGACGTCAGCCTACGATGTGCCCAATTAGCCATTGGCGTCATTGTTCTCATTCTCCGTGTGTACGGTGAAGAAGTCGAGGGAAAACAACTGCTTGATAACGAGATGATTGATCGTGTGCTGCTGACACTTTTTGATGAGCGTCCGACCATACGCCATGAGGCTGGTGTGCTCCTCCGGGTCTTCATAGACTCTCGTGTCTCCACAGGTGACTCCAACGGTGTTGGGTACAAGGAGGCTGCACTGGAATTATTATGCGCCTTTGCCGCTACGCTGCGCGCGCAGTACGGGGAGGCCATGCCAGAGCGATACCTTGTTGACGCCCTCTGCAACCCTCCGCTGGAGCTGCCTCCTTTCCTGGAAAGCTACGGGTCAATGCTAGGCATTGTCGCGTCCGATGATGCCTCGGAGGCGGTGGTGGGATTGGGCCTTGTAGCCGCGTTACTTGAAAAGCTACGCGGCAAGTTGGATCTTGGTCCCCTTCCAAAGGATGACCGCCGTCAAGGCGCTGCCAAAAAACTTTCATCTAGTAAACAGGAAATGATTGATTCACTGGTTAATTCCCTAAGTCGTGACGTAGGGGTCTTATTGGCTGGAGTCCTTGAAAAACATCGTGGTGATGTGGGGGTTTTGTGTGGGGTTTCTGCAGTAGTTGCAGCGATGGATTTCAAGGCGTTTAGTACTTTGGAGCAGGGGGCTCGGATCAATGCTCTTATGACACTGATGCGCAAGGCTACCGCCGCCTTACCACATTGTGAGGAGGCACACCGTAACCAGGTGACTGTTGCGTGGCTTGGATTTGTTACCGAGGATCACCCTATGAAAAATGAGGCGATGGGCCAGATAGAGGAACTTTTAAAACAGGTCTTGAAGCAGCTCTCTGCGTTAGAGAAGGTGAAAACAAGATCGGGGAGTCAGACGGTGGAAAAGGAGGTTTTGCATGTATGGGGACGAATGAGTATTCTCTCGTCGCTTGTGTCTATGGTGGGTCAATGGGATTTATTGAAGGCATCTGTGCGAAAGCACACCAATGGGAATACTTTTGCAGAACTTTTGCGATTGATCTTATCTACCTCCATGAGGTGTATCTTGTGGCAGTTGAATGCGGAGCAGGAAACAGCAGAATCCATGGGAATTTCCACGAGTGCCAGCCAAATGATTGGAGAATTTGTAGCTTGCATCTTTCAAGTATGGAAAATGGAGTTTCAGGGACAGGATGAAGCATCAACCGCACTCTTTGTGGACACTATGATCTACCTCTGCGACCTCTGTGCGCTGCGACACTACACGATGTCGCAAATGGAGCAAGATGTATTCGTGGGAAAGTTCAGTGAGTTGTCAAGCGTTTTGGGCAGCGAGCTGCATGGGGCAAAGGAAAAACTCAAGGAGGCGGGGGATCGTTTTCGCGACGGTGGTGCGCTTAGTGAAGTTGCACAGTCTCGTCGCGAGGTGTCCCGCCTTGAGGCGTCCCAGCTTCGTGTGACAACGGGTGTTGCGCGTCTGCTTCTGCTCAATCGCCTTGCGGAGGACGTGGGTCCTCGTATATTTTTGCAGTGGGTGCATGCACCCACCAAGTCTGTTTCAGACGTTTTCCGATGCCTGTTTCGCTCCCTGCGTGATCGGTGCAACGAGAGTTTTACGCTTGAGAAGTCTATTCTTCTTGCGACGTACCACCACTCTTTCGATGCGCTCTACCAGATGGGAATGAAACTTTCCTCCATGCACTGGCCTCTTCCTGACAAGTATTACGCGGCATGTGTCAGCATGGTTCGGTTTGGAGTGGAGTTTGCGACGAACACAGGGCCAGCGATACTGCAGGCCATTGTTGCCTATTGTCCAAAACTTCTCAAGGTGGATGCCTTGGATTTGGCGCACGTGTTAGCGGCAAATGAGTTCATGGCGACAAGCAGCGATCCGACTGTGCAGTTATTTATTTCAGCCATTCGCCGGGCCGCACGGTTGGAGGAGGCGGTGAATGCTGTGACTCCCGTGCAAGGTGCCAAACGATTGCGGGAAGAGGCGATGTCGAGAAGTATGGAGGACGGCGGGGGGCACACACTTTATCCACAGAACTCACAGCAAGCAACAGCAACAATGACAGAAACGAGAAGGGAGACGGTAACGATATCGTCAAGCAAGGGTGCGTCAAGGTCCCAGTCCCGCCGCCGCGCTGCAGTGAAGGCACCGGTGGCAGCTAACCGTGTACTCACTAACGACGGGTGGCGTGTACGGCCTGAAGAAGAGGAGGAGACTGCTCCGAGTAAGGCGTCGTCTGTTTCGGAGACGATGGAGGCGACGCGTGCTCGACAGACAAGAGGCTTCAAACTATCGCAGACGGGGGCAGAGGTTGCTCCACCCGGAGCCACCCAAGAAACGGTTCTCTCTTCATTGGCAGCTGAATTGGATAACGATGAGGTATTTATCGCCACACAAGAGTACGATTAGCCGGTCCACACGTTTCAGCAGGAACATTGTCAGCACGCAACGCTCAGTCGTCTTCTTTTTATTAAGGAATGACACAGATAACAGTGAGTTTATCCATAGAAGAGAAACAAATAAGTGACATGGACAAAGAATAACCATAGAGTGGGGTGGGGTAAAACAGAAGAGAAGGGATAACATCCATTCATCTATCCAAACGGAAAAAAAAAAGAAGAGGGAAGAAAAAGGATAACAGAGTTCGGTAGTCAAGTGTAATTTCCGCTCTAGAAGGAGGGGGAGGGACGAAAAGAAGAATGAGGGAATATGGTGGAACGACATCTTATATACACACACATGCATACCGCTGCGTTCTTGTTTCTGTTACCTGGGACCTATTTAGCATGCCTGCCTTTAGTTTCCTTTTTGGCGTTTTCTCTTCTTGATTTTTTTTCCCCGTTTTGTTTTTGCTTGCACCTAGCGGTCTTACCCAGCGAATAGTTGGGAGTTTGGGTAAGAGGAGGGAGGGGGTGGACGACGGTGTTTGCTACGTTGATCCCTCCTTTTAATTTCTGTATTTTGTTTTTACCTTTTTTTTCCCCCTCTTTCTTTGCCTTGCGTTCTCATTAGGTTTTGTGGGACACCAATGACACTGACAATTGTGGCACCTTCTCCGGCGACTGTGAAGGATCCAAGCTGCTGGGACAAGAGCTCAAAGGAGCTTCGAGAGAAGGCAGTGAAAAACAGGGACCAGGTTGTACTGACATGTGACCTGGCATCTCCATTAAACTCAGCGAAGTTTCAGGCGCGTCTGGTTTGTTGCGTGCGCACCTTGCCGCGCTTGAATGATGTTAAAAACGCCTTGAGACGACTAAATACATTCCGTGAACGGAGCTGCTCCTCTGTTAGATACGCAGACGACCCCATCTCTCCAAATCGATATTACGACGGTGAGACACACGTACATCGTGTACCAAGACCCACCATATGGAAGGTTGACGGATCGGTTGACAGCCGCATCACCGTCATTGATGCCCTGTCGGGTGTGGAGTTGATGCGTATTTTGGAGCCAAAAAAAGATGTCATGGTGGCTTCACTGCTGCATGCGCCTTTTCATGGCCTTATTAATAGGCAGCTGGAGGTTATTCCGATTGAGCACTCGCAGGATATTCTATCCGTACGGGAGGCCTCATTGATTAATACAGATTATGTGTGGGTGGGATTTGTAGATGGCTCTATTCGCCTATTTCCAACCGATTATCGACGCGTGCGGGAGCAAGATCGATCGGTACTGCTGGCGAGAGGTGAATTGGCAGATTTAGTGTATGAGTTACCAAAGCAGCATAAAGCAGCTGTCATTGCCATCACTCGTAGTCCTTGCCATGATGATGGTGGGGCGACCGATTTAGTTACAGCGAATCGGTTGAGTAGCGCCATTCGTGAGCTCACTGCGGCGACCTCGCGTGGAGGTCTAGAGGATCGTGAACACCTCTCTCTTGTATGTACCGCTTCAGAGGATTCTTGTGTGGTAGTGTGGGACCTGAAAAAAATTTACCGTTGTCTGGAAGAGATGCGGGTGAGTTCGCAAAGTGCAGGAATAACACGATTTGGTGTTGACGCGCCATCGTTATCGTTTGGGGGTGATGTTGTCACATTTGATGTGACTCCCACGACGGATCACCCCGGCTGTACGGTGCGTTCAACGTATACCCTAGTGAAGGTGCGACCTCTGTTTAGGCTCAAGGGCGGCGTTGGTGGATTGCGCACACTCAACTGGGTCACTTCTGCGGTGACGACGCTAGGGTATCAAAAAAGCCGCGACGTGGTGACCATGACACGAGACCCAAAGGAGGCTACAGCGCCGCAGTTTCTCAGGGATCGCCGCGCTGTGCAGCAAATGACTCGCTGGGAAAGGCGTGAGGAGCATCGTGTGATGCTCCAGTTGTCAGAGCGAAATATGCGGGAAGTGGAGGAGGAATTGGAGCAGTTGATGCCGCCCCTCGCGCCAGAGTCACCGCAGCGTAAACGTGTCAACCTGATCATCGCTGGTGACGTGCATGGCACCCTCCACTTCTGGGATTTGGACGAGGAGCTTGAAAAAAGCGTCGGCGATATGGCCTCCGTGGCATCGAATTCCCCCACATTATCTGTCCCGCGTGATTCTCGAACTGGGCGGAGTCAAGTGTCCATACATGACCACTCAGTTAGTCCACGCAGGCGATACGCGAAAGAATCCCCTGTAGTATCGGTGCGTAGCTCAATGGAAAGGAGGGGTAGCGAAGGGAATGCAGTGAGTCGGCAGCTACGAGCTTCTCCTCGCATTTATGCCACCTGTGAGACAAAAGAAAAAACACGAACGCGACGATCCGGACGCGATCTGGTCGACAAGGAGATCCCATCGTTGTGCGCTTCATCAGCTACGCCGAGTGATGCTAAAAGGTCAGGAAAAGGTCGTAACATAGCCGCAGAGAAGAATTTTAAAACCCCGCATAAAAGCGTTACCAAATCTCCGTCTGTAACTAAACATGACACGCAGTCAGTGAGGCGATCAAGTTTGCATGAGGTAAGGTCTTCTTTTGCCTTACCAAAATCTTTCGCTTTACTGAGTAAACAAAAAGAGGATTCAAATGTAACCTTATTGCCTGTTGCAACTTGCCGTGGTTCATGTCCTGTAGAAGGAATGAGACGAAGTGGTAAGTATCTCGTGACGTCACCACAGGCAAAGCAGCCTCTCTCTCAAACCATGAAGAAGACATTATGTGGCAGTCTGACCCAACCCGTCTCAGGTCGACGAACACTACAGAGAGTTGAGAATTCGACCCCTGCAGCCTCCAAGAGTTCGCGAAGAAGAGGTTCGAAGGTTTTGGAGCCCGGCACAGGCGTCACGAAACCGAAAAAGCGTGTTGGTGATAGGGAAATTATGACCCCTTGCGCGAGGAGATCTTTCCAGGGTGATTTATCCATGGAGGAAGCAAACAAGAGTGCGTTGAAGGTGAAGCGGACGCTGCCTGAAATTGAAAGCCCATTGACTCTGCCATGGAACTCTGGTAGAGCGTCTGTCACGTCCTCCTACCTTACATCAGGTCGTTGTAGTCCAACCGGACGTCAGTTCCCAACGGACGCTACCCATACCACTTGCTCAGTGAAGGGCGCGACACCGAACCGATTGATAAGCGGCCATCGATATCTTAATGATATGTACAGTCGTAAAGCAAAATGTCATATGGATCTAATAGAAGGCGGCACTGTAACCGGCATTGCTGTAGATCTTCCCCCCATTATTACTGTGACGATGCGTTGCCTACCAGACCCACCGGAGCCGCATTATTCTCTATTGGAGCAACCTACCGAGGAGGAAATTCGTAGCCGTGAGTTAGCCAATAGCTTTTGTCCTTTAACCAATGAGCGTGCTCTTTTTTGTGTGTTTGAACGGATGCAATTTTATGTCTCTGTCGAGCGGGCACTTGTGAATATCCAGTGTGTGCCTAAAATGCGTGCAAATGTTTTGGACTATCGCGTGTTTACTAAACCATTGCTTGAAAATCGTCTAATTGAAGAACCGACCCCATTTAATTTTGACATCGTCTTCCGGAGACATGTTTTAGAGCTGCATCCTCAACCCATTGTGCGTCTTTTTATTGATCATGTGAGGCATCAACTTTGGGTGGCGCGGAATCATGGACTACTAACTGTTTTTTCAACCGAAACAAAATCTATTGTTACTCGTGTAGCAGACCCTGCTGCTGAGATAGCGCTCGGGCCTCCTAATGTCATAGAATGGAAACGTGTACAGCGGGAAATGGCGTTGCTCGAACAGCATCCGATTTACGCAGAGATGCATAAGGAGTCTCGAAAAAACCGGCCTGGACACTTTACAGGTTTTTGGCCAGTTTCTCTTTTACAAAAATTTGAACTTGTGCGAATATCGCTACTGCATGAGTTGGAGTCAGGCAGTGATTTATCTATAGGTGCTCCCGAGTCGATGAAGGCTCAGATTACGTTTATTGATGGCAACTGTGCACTTGATACGCATGCGAGGGCTCGCGAGTTCAGCCTAAGCTTACTTTTAGAAAAACTAAGGGTGTGCCGTCAAAATGCGTTGATAGTGCGGCGGGCGCAAAAGGATAGTTATAACCTTCTTTTCAACGCAGTTGCGGAAAGGATAGGGTCACTGATTGGGCGGTGCGCCACCTTTAGTGTGCTGCATGCCGCACGTAAAATATTTTGGGCCTGGGCACATCACCGAGACTACTACCCCCGTCACTACGTTCTACGACAGTTGCGGTTGCGGCGACGGCTGCAGCTTTTACAGTTGAAGGACGCCATGTCCCTGAATTTTGATACAAGACTCAGGAGTGTTTACTTCACCAAGTGGCATGTGCTTGCGCGCGAGCGTCGAGGCTATCAACAGGAATTAAGACTTGCAAAGGTCTTGGGGGCGAGGGTGGATACTCCGATGCGAGAAAAGTTTGCCAATTTCATGGGGGAGCATACTCAACGTCGGCGGTACTGGCTGCTGTGGAAGTCGGCGCTGGCTTCGAGAGTTCGCCCTCATGCGTTCCCCTCCCTTCGTCAGAGCGTGATTCCGGTAAACAGCATGAGTATCAGGCATATTTCCTTGCCGACACTTTTGCAGTCCTCGCGGCCTAACCCCGTTTCTCGCCCGAGAGGTCCTGAGCGTGAAGGAGTTTTTTGTGACGTGTACGCGATTCTCAGTCAGGTTTATGGCCTTCGTCACACACTAATTTCTTTTAGGTGGGACGAGGCAGCAGAAAGCGTCTTGGATGTGGAGGATTCATGGTTTGACGCCGTTGAGGCCGCCACTGAGGAAGCGGAGGAGCAGACAGCACATGAACTTAAACTGGCTGTTTTCAAGTTTGCGTGTATCCCTTTTATGGAAAGTCTCTTGTCAACTGCGCAGGAGGTGTTGCCGTGTATTCGTGAGGCCCCTGTCACCAAGAAGGTGCGATCGCTGATTCGAGGCTGTTTGCTCTGTATCGATTTCCTCTATGCCGATGCGGGAGATCTTGCCTTCTTGGCAGAAGCGAGAGAGGAAGGGATAGCTTCTTCTGGTTCCCTCTTTTCGCAAGAGGAACGAGCGCCTTCCGTGGCTCAGGTAAAGATGGGAAGAGAACAAGAGTTGCGGCAACTCTTCGATGATGCCATGGAATGCCGTGAGTTCCAGACAGCGCTCGAGGCTGTCGCCGCACACCGCACCGTGATTGAGGAATTTTTGCGCGCATTCTCCGATCAGTAATCAAAGGCACTGCGAGGGGCATTCATTACTGCGCATATGCGCACTTCACTTGCAATACACATGGGGAACAGAGAGAAGAGAAGAGATGTCTGGCCTTTTTGAGTACCAAAATGTGAAAGGAAGTGAGTCCTGAAGACATTGTACAAGAAAAAAAAAAAGAACAATGTTAAACCTTTTTGTTTTTGTTTATGGTTTTGCGTATTCCGGTGGAGAGACGGATGAAAACGATGAAAGCAGCATACATCATTCTGTCCCAACTCATTTTGCGGTGCCCTTTTTCTTTGTGCTTGCTTTATACATGCCGTTATTGTGCATTGCCACTGATGGGCGAAGGATATGCGGGCGTGTGGGAAGGCGGAGATGTGAGCGTCACCATGCAATGTAAATGCAGAGAACATGTTCCGCAGGATATCGTGCCGCACTGCATTTGTGCCCAACTTGCTACAACATATGTGTATGTATGTCGTTCTCCGTAACTTTTTTTTTTTTTCATTCTTTTGAGATCCTCCAACTTCTTCATTGCGTGGTTTGCGCTCGCTTTGTCTTGTTGTTGTTTTTTTTTTTTGTCCCCACCACCCTCCAACGCCCCCACGTTTCATTTGGCCTTACTGATCGCGACAGGGACCAGAAGGACAGAAGCGGCAGAGTGCCATCTCTCCACATGGCCTCGGTGAACCACTCTATTGAGAGCACCACCAGCAGCCTGCAGCGGTCTGGCCTCAGCATGAGTGTGGGAGACACAAAGTCCATTGTTCTTGCGCTCCAGGCTTTGCAAGACAAAATTCGCCGTCTGGAACAGGACCGCAATCATCATCTGGATGAGTATGAACGGGCCCTGCAAGCACACGAGGCTTACAAGCAGGACATGGAACACCAACTGGAGCAGGAACGCACACATCATCGGCAACGTGAAAAAGAGTTGCAGGAAATGGTGCAGCGAGCTACCGCAGAGAAAGCAAAGCTACAAAGCACATTGGAAGAAAGTAGAAAAGACTTGGGAACATTTCGGACAGAACTAGAGGAAATCCTTATTAAGGAGTGTGATGCTGCCAAAAAACGTGAAAATGCCATGGCCAGTGAGTTGGATAAGTTGCGCCAAGAGTTGGAGGAACAGCACGAAAAACACCGTGTACTTCTTACATCCATCGAAGAGCTTCGGGCCGAGAAGGAGGCGGCACTCGACACCAACCATCATTTAGAGCAGGCAATACAGGAGCTTATGCGAGTGCAACCAGGGTACGGGCCAAATCGGACACTTTTACGCAATAGTGATACTAGCCGGTTAACTTCAGAAGGACGCAAACTTCGTAGTCAGCGTGGTAAAACATCCAGCGGCGCTGGATTAGAAACACTGAATCGAACCAATAACTCTCGTCGAGCTGCTGAACCTCGGAAGAGAGGGGGTCGCCCGACGTCTGCTGTGCGGTCTAGCAGTGCTCGCCACACATACCGCGATCCAACGTATTCCTCTAACCAGCGTGATGTTCGGAAAGAGAACGGAATTCATGTAGCTGATAGTAGCTTTGTTGGTGAATTTACAAAGCCTGCCTCGTACACGACGGCATCAGTCTCGCGGACGCAGCCGACAGTCTTGTTAGAAGGGAGACGAAATGATGCCATGGCGGAGGTGTGTGAGGAATTGGAGGGGGAACTAAAAAGCCTTCATCAACAGTACAAGGAAACGGTGGAGCGGGCGGCGGTGGAAGAGATCTCTGCTGAAGTGCTTACAGCAGCACTGAATCGCATCGCACGACTCATGGACCGCAAAACGGAGCAGGTGCGACTGATCAAGGAAGCTCAGCGTGACATTGTGGCAGCGGGAGCAGCAGTGGATGTGCCAACGTCGCGCTCAGTTAGTTCGTCGAGACGGCCCCCACATCCAGTGGGGGCAGACAAAGCCACCCAGCGCAATCTCATTGTCAACGAGCTTCGCTCTCTGCTGTCACAACAGCGTTCTTAGGAAAAGAGGCGGATAAGGACAGCTAATGCGCACAAACCTGATAAAATAAATTAAAAACAAAAACAAAAAAAAAGGCAGGCAAAGTCAAGGCAAAAAGGCCGCACTCCAATTAAAGAGGAAGAAAAAAGACAAGCAAGATCGGAAAGATGATGTAGGAGGAACTAGAATATGCGGTGAGGGTGGGGGCATCATTGACAATGGAAATGTGGACTAATAGAGCGAGAGTGCGAGTGGGCGTAAGAAAGATGGATGGAGGCAGATGAACCGGGCGCTCAATGTGGCTTTCTTATATGTTCACGTTATTGTTCTTGTTTTTTTTGTCTTTTTTTTTCTTCTGACTGAGAAGTGTAGGTGCGTGTTCTATTTTACCTTTGACCGGGTCCTGCTGGGGTGGTGGAGTTGTGCTCGTGAAGGCGTGTATTTTTAGACCATTATACTGTACTAGTAGAACGTAAGAAGAGTAAACAGGAAGAAAAGGGAAGCGTGGGAGAGAGAGAGAGAGAGGAGGGAGAGAGAGTAGGGAATACGGTTGTTGCCTGACGCTGTCACGTTGCCGTGTTTTTGTCTCTATGGGGATGCCGGACTGTCGAGCACTCTTCTTTTCCGGCAGTCTTCCTCATGCGCCCCGGTGAAGTGTGTGGTTGTGTTTTCTTTTCCAAAACGCACACGTACACTTGGGGAACGATCCACATTTATGTTGCTTTGCGTTGCGTATGTGGTTGCTTTATTGTTCCTTCACACACCTCTCCCTTGTTTTTTTTTCCTCTTTTGATTTCTTTTTTTTTTGCCTTCACTCTTTCTTCCATGTTTTTTTTTCCCTTTGGCAGGGGAGCGCCGTTGCTGTAGAAGGCCGTTTTTTTTTTTGTATTTCCTCAACTGTCTTCGTTGCTCGTGTTTGTGTTTGCTTTGGTTTATGGGGCCCAGCGTTTCTCCACACCACATCCTTCCTTTGTCTTTGACGCACCTCTTTTCACTCTTTGTCCCTCTCTATCTTTGCTTACCCCCCAGTGTGTGCTGCCTTGGAATCTCTTTGCAGGTAGAGGGTGGGGGGAGTTTTTACGTCACTTCAGAGACACGGATCAACAGAGTCTTTTTTGGCCGATGACTAGAAGAAGCTCATCGGTGACCTTGCCCCCAGCGGAGGTGGAGGAAAATCCGCTCACAGCCGATGTGATGGTGGCGTCCTTGGATTTCCTTACCCACAATGCCATGGGGTACCTTGTCTACGCCGTGTCCAACCTCTCCTCCCGTTGTCTCACCTCCATTGAGATGCTGGGGACATACAAATACCTGCAACGCATCTCCCTCAATGACAACATGCTTGACTCCCTGAAACCCTTGCGAGAGCTTCATGGCCTCGTATATCTCTCGGCAGCAGGTAATAAACTGACCAATGAGGTTTTTGACGACCTAGCTCCATCTGGCACTACCTTGGAGAGACTGAACCTTGACAGAAATTGCCTAACGAGCCTTCGAGGACTTCATCAGCTACCGTTTCTTGTGGACTTTTGTGCAGAGGAAAATCAGTTGGAAGAGTTGGCCAACGAAGAACTTTCCTCCCTCCATAGTCTTACACGGCTTGATTTGATGTCCAACAGGATTAGGCGTATCCAACTGAATACCTTTGCTACCTGTGATACTGTGCGTAGTATTAACCTTTCCCATAATGAAGTGGAAAAGGTTCAGTTTGTGATGCACCTGGCGAACAGTTTGGAGAAGTTGGATTTGGGATACAACAAGATAAAAAATCTAGACGGTTTTGATGTGTTGCAAGAGCTCGTTGATCTTCAACTGGTGAATAATGAAATTGAGTCATGGACGGAGCTAGAGACGCTGTCAGGGCTTATTAACCTTCGACATCTAACGATTGAAGGGAATCCTATTCTACAGGAATCAGAGGATACCTTTGTTTGTAAATCATTACCGGGTTACGCGGAGTCCAAAGTGGAATCAGATGTAGACTTTTCTGCGCGTAAATTTTGTGGCGGCCTCCTCTCATCGGGAGCTGCGGATGCCGGCAACACACTACTCTCCTCTCTGGTCGTACCCTGTGCTAGAGCTTTTGTAAAGGAGGCAACCCTGATGCCTCGTAGACTAGAGGAGTGGGATGAGGATGGACTTCGCGAGTTGCTCAAGCTTCCGCTTTCTGAACAGCGTAGATTCCGTGTAATTAGTATTTTGCAGCAATTGACTACAATTGATTCCATTCCTGTATCTCCCAATGACATTCCGCGGGCGCTGCGTCTGTTCAAAAAGAAGTCCGGGAAGAGGTTTCCTGTAGGAGGTAATTTTTTCCCTGTGGGATCTGCCGCGCGGGTAGTGGAATCCCAACGTGCAAAAAATGGCGCTGCTACACTATGAGGAGCGTGGGCGCTGCGCATGTATGCACGCACGTGTGAAGGAGTTAGTCCCATTTTTGTCATTTGCGTTCCAATAATCTTTAGCAAGGTCAACGAAATGCATTCCTGCAAGAAAGCGATAGCGATAGCGAGAGTGAGGGAGAGGGAGAGGCAGAGGGAGAGAGAGGGTGAGGGTGACTGTGTGAGAAGAGAAAACAAAGTATGTTGGTGGAATGTAATA